ATAAATAAATATTAAAAAAAAAAAAAAAACGTCCAGTAGACTTGGTCCAGATCCTGGCTCTAGCTGGATGACCTTGGAAAATTTTTTATCCCCTCTGACCTTGAATTTCTTTGTCTGTAGATTGGAGTAATAATATGTCTGATTGGTATCATTAGGATTAAAATGGGAAAAAATCCAAATAAAGCATTTGACATAGTGCCTAGCACATAACACTCAGTATGTGTTATTGCTGTTAATGATATAATGATTTATGTTTTTTTCTCTTAATTCCTGAATAGTGGGAAATACTTGAAAAAGGCTTGGAAGTGTACATATTAGCAGCCTTGACTGTAGTCTTCTCATAGTAATCAGATCCTTTTTAAAGATTGCATAATCTAGGGTTGAATTTAGATGCTTGATGTATTTGCAATGAACCAGATTCCAGTCACCTTACTGAAGATTCATCTTTATAAACTGTAGAAATTAAAACAGTAGTAGTACAAGTTCATATTTAAGACAGCAATCTGACCCAAGGTTTTGTAGTTTGTAGAACTGACAATGTTTAATGTTCTCCATAAATTCATGGGGTTTAATAAGAAAAGTACATAGACTTTTAGACCTTGAACATAGAGAAACACTAATTCAACCCCTCATCAAATGAGGAAACTGTCGGCAAGTTGAATGAAGAATTCATCTAAAATTCTTGTTTTGTGTATAAGATATAGATAAAACTTTACAAAAAGAAAGAACTACTTAATAATCATTAAATTGTTGCCATCACTCTAAATATTCATCTGATTATTATAAATGAGTATATAATAAATATTAATGTTTTTTAAAAATTATTTATATTTGAGGGAGAGAGAGAGAGAGAGAGACAGAGCATGAGCAGGGGAGGGGCAGAGAAAGAGGGAGACCCAGAATCCGAAGCAGGCTCCAGGCTCTGAGCTGTTAGCACATAGCCCAACATGGAGCTCAAATTGTGAGATCATGACCTGAGCCAACGTTGGACGCTTAACCAATTGAGCCACCCAGGGGCCCCGGTATATAATAAACTTTAGAATTGTGATCAGTGTATAGACTGGTCTGTGTGAATGTTTTCTGTTAATATCATTATCCTTTAGATTTTAGTGGCTATTGAAGATTAATTCCGAGGGGAATATTTCCACAGATTAATTGAGATGTAGTGTTACATTCTAGTTACTGATAGTTAGGTTCAAACTCACTTCACAAGTAGCTTGGCAATGAAACCTCAGATAACTAGGGATTTTACTAAATGTAGGTCTTCTTAGGTGGTTGATTTTTATTAAACTGAAACATTTTTACCAGTACAGAGTGAGTTACAAAGAGCGTTTTTAAGGAAAAAGGAACAGGGGAGGTGTGAGAAAACCCTGGGGAAATTTGATAGTTTCCTAATTCCTCCTGAATCTGATTTTCAGAATGTTGTTTTATTTCCTCACACAGTATACCAGGCACACTCCAGTTCTTAAAAGTAGAGATAGAACTATTTTAAAGATAATATATAAAATTTTCAGATTAACCACAAATGGGCTTCCTTCCATTAGTGCAGATGTGAACATGTTTTGGACTTCAGCATCATATAATTCTTTTGTTACAGAGATCTACTTTCATTTCTCAGACCTTAAATACAGATGGGAGTTTCTGTCTTTATAGCAGTCCTGCTGCCAGATACAATTCAGCCTTGATGGGAAGGAAGTCTTGTGGCCAGATGGGTGGAGATTCATGTACAAGGCCATAAAGATAAAAATGGAAAGAAAAGGAAAACTATAAAGGCTTCAGGACAGGGTTCTACAACAAAGATGAACTGGCAACTGCTGGCAACTGCTTGTTCTGAGGGTTGGGGCTTCTTTACAATTATGAAAGAAATGATTCCATTATTTTTATTTATAACTTTATTTAGGGGATAGTAATTTCATACAGATCAAAATTCAAATGAAAATTCTTTCTTTTTAATTTCTTCTTTCCTAGCCTTTGTTTGTTTGTTTATTTATTTTGAGAGAGATATTGAGAGAGCACAAGCGGGGAGGGGCAGAGAGCAAGGGGGACAGACGATCTGATGCAGGCTTTAGGATCCAAAGCAGGCCCTATGCTGACAGCAGAAAGCCCAGTGCAGGGCTTGAACTCACTAACTGAACCATGAGATCATGACCTGAGCTGAAGTTGGACACTTAACCAACTCAGCCTCCCCAGGCACCCCCAAATGAAAATTCTTTTTCTATTCCTGGCCCCAGCCAACCCAGTTCCCCTTTCTAGAGGCAACCAGTATTACTAGTTATATGATTATCCTTCCAGAGGTATTCTGTAAGTATACAAGCATATATGTGTGTGTGTATGCATTATGTTTCTGTGTATGCACACACATGTGTTCTTTATCTTCATTTTTCCTAACAAATGATTGTATCGTATACATACTGTGCTACACTTTGCTTTTTTGCCCAACATTAGATCTTGGAAATTATATCAATAGAAGATCTTTTTATTCTTTGAAAGCACTTTAAAAAGGTCATGTGTCGGGGCGCCTACGTGGCTCAGTCGGTTGAGCAACTGACTTTGGCTCAGGTCGTGATCTCATGGTCTGTGAGTTCCAGCCCCGCATCGGGCTCTGTG